ATATATATATATATATATATGTTTGTGTGTGTGTATGTGTGTTTGTGCGTGCGTGTGTGTCTTTGTGTTGCTACGTGATATCTGTCCTCCTTTACGGCATTGAATCTTGGAGGAAAGATGAAGAAGAGATTCGTGGCAACGGAGGTATGATTCTACAGAAGGATGCTAAGGATATCATGGACCTAGCGGGTGAGCAATTATGACGTTTTGGAGAGGATGCAAACAAGGAGGAAGCTTATAGTTAACATCAGGAAAAAGCAATGAAATTTCTAGGACACGTAATGAGAAAGGAAGGCCTGGAGAATCTGATACTCACGGATCGAACAGAGGAAAAGCGAGACAAGGGAAAGCAACGCATGACATACCTAGCGGGCTTAAGCAAGTGGATGACTGAATGTTGTGTGGGGGAGGTGGCAGAGGGACGAAGCTTATTGAGAGCTACAAGGGATAGGGGAAAGTGGAGAGCCATGATCGCCTGCGTCCTGAAGGGACACTGCACATAAAGAAAACAAACTGAAAAAATCAGAAATCAGACTAAAATCTTAAATATATGAGGGATGTAATAATTTGAATGTCTGCTCTAGACCTCAGTAATATATTACATTGATCATGATCACTGGTAACGTTACCCACAGTACACAAGCTCATTTAATGTTTCACTGCCGAAAACAACATGTTAATATTCACTTATGCATGTGCCCCTTTGATAGGTTGTCGAGTTCCATCAATTTGCAACAGGTTCTCGAGATATTGTCTCTCATTACAATCGTTAATGCGACGGAATCTTATTTGTATAGCAAAAGGTGTCTTTCAAATGTTAAACAACATAAAGAAATAGAAAAATATCGTCATAACAAAAAAGAGAAATGCTGAAGTACTGTGTAATATCAATCCTCGTATATAGCAGCGAATGATGGACAATATCCTTGCAGATGAAGAGGCTTGAGGCAACAAAGATCTGGTAAGATAGAAAGACGATGAGAATACCATGAACGGAGCATGTGAGCAATGAGGAAGTTTTAAAGAAAATGGTGGCAAAAAGGGCATGTGTACTGAGAATTAAAGACAAGATGTTGATACTTTTGGGACACTTAATGAGAAAAGAAGGCTTGGAAAGTTTGAGACCCACAGGACCTATTGAAAGCAAATTGATAGGACGAAATATTGAGTGACCTATTTAACAAAAATTGTGTAAATTGATAGCAACTGTGAGGGTTATTATGGTGACAGAAGATTAAAAATTGTGAAAATCTCTGATCGCCTACGTCCTGACGGGACACGGCAGAGAAATGGTTAACCAAACAAAGAAGCGTTTCAAATGCATAGCATTCCCACATATAAAATATAGATATAAATGAAGATAAATCTGGCATGTAATTCATTAGCCTGCCAGAATGAAATGAGGCACATAATCCTTTTATTAAAATGGTAAGGTACGGCTTAGAAAATGGATCACCAGAAACAAGATGTAAACATCGTAGGTTGATTTCTGCTGACGAACGATTAACATTTTAGCAAATTGCTGCTATATATGGTCTGGAGCTTCTTCTGTTTGTCTCAAGGTCCTTGATAAAATCCACAGACGGATATGCAATGTAATTGGCCCTGATCTGGCATCTCGTCCGCAGTCTCTCTCTCACAGATGTGCCGTCGCCCCGACCTCTGTCTTTTTTTAAAATTCTTTCACGGTAACTGTTCCGATGAGCTGCTTTTGATGGTTCCCAGACTTCATGAATTTAAGCGTTCTACTAGGCTGGCATCTCGCTCTCGCCCTTTCATTGTCAAAACTGTTAAATGTAGCCGTCTCTTCTACTTCAATAGCTTCATGTTTCGCACTTCTTGCCTGTGGAAATACCTTCCCTTTTCTTGTTTCTCTGATAGCTATAATCTCCAACCATTCAAATGTAATGTCAATCGACGTCTCCAGATGCCTTGATCTATCCCCTATCCTTCTCTTCATCCTTTCGTCTATTATTCGTCTTTGCTCTCGCTCCAACTCACTGTAACCCCCTTAAGTACTAGTGGCTTCCGGCCTTGCTTGGGGTGTAACGCTTAAGAAAATAACGTTTAGAAAATCTGCTGATTATTCTATGATATTTTAACATCATCTCACTATGATGTTATATGATGCAAGGGGGTATAGAAAGTTTCATGGTCCAATCAAGAATAAACTGCCTTCCCTTGAAATCAAATTTTTGTTCATTTAATCAGATATTTAGGGAATTTCGTTAGGTGGAGTAATGGATAGCATCTCGGGGTTAGGAATAAACCGAAAGTAAATTCCTCAGGCAAGAAAGGTTAAAATGAGGTTAGAATGGACATATGTATATATATATATATATATATATATATATATATATATATATATATATATATATAAAATAGATATGTATAAGTGCATACATATATATATATATATATATATATATATATATATGAAAGGCAGGATATGTGTGTGTGTGTGTGTGTGTGTGTGACGAATGCACGGCCGCAACGACGGATTTGCGGCCATTTTCTACTGGCCAGAGGAGAGCCAATTGCTAGCTGCCACGAATAGGCAGGAAGATTCTATTGGCCAGCGTGAGAGCCAACAGCTGACTGA